AAACCCACATCTGTTGGAGGGCTGGAGCAGGACTCTTCTCCACACTGTTGAGTGCATACTATCTCATTTGCTAATCTCAAAATCACTTTCTGCAGATACGTTTCCAGCTGCAAGTTCTTGCATCACACTTTCCAGGAGTATCAGGAAAACAAGAATCAACTGCTCAAATGAACTAACAGTGCTTCTTTCTCAGTTAATTGTGGCATTGTTATTTACAAGAGGTAAAATGGTTTCCAAGAATACAAGTGGATGCAATTTTTCTCTTTGTTACATAGCTCCTAGGACAATTATGCTTGCTACACAAGTGCATTTATGAAATACGGGATCCTAAGACAAAAATCTATGTGTTGCTCAAACTAATGTCAGAAATCTTCCAGATTTCAGTGGGACCGTTCCTGGAGAAGGGATTATTTCTTTGTTATAGATTAAATAAATTCATCTGATACAGACTCATATTTGATTCAGAACAGAAGTTATATGGACCACAAGATGCTATTTTAAGGGAACTACTGCTGAAAGAAGAACAATTAAAAAACATTGTATATCCCCTTTTTCGCAAAATAGGTAACGAAGTAAAAGACAAGCAGAGAAATAATCCCTTAAAAACCACCCAAACATTAAGAATATTTCTAAGCATCTATTTTTTACAGTACTTGGATTAACCATGTTTAACCTACTGCTTTGTGGACCTTCATATCCACACACAACAGTACCATGAGTGACAGTGACCATAAACTACTTCAGAGTAGCATATGTGGAAATTACATGGTAGGTTCATTGCCATTATAAACATCAAATGACATCTAAATAAGCTTCTCTGTCACTCGCTGTGCTTTATGCTTCGTGCAGATTGTGCAGACAGCCACATCAATTGAATAAATAAGCAGAGGCATACAGACACAGAGAGCCTGTCTGCGATACAAGAAAGCACTATCTTTCAGTAGAATAGTTAATTTAAAATACACAGAGCTTTGCTGAAAGATTTTTCCACGTCTACATGTAGTTCTCAGGGAGATCATCCTCATATCACACTTTTTATCACGCTTTTATAGCATTTACCCTACAGATTCGACGATGGTGGCTTCTGCAGAGGGAAAACAGTTTTGTTGTTGTTGGTTTTTTTTTAGCGGAAAACAGCAAGTACTTGTAGGACTCCAACGGTATTTTGTACTGATGGGGCCCATTCTTTTCTTTAATTCCAATGAAGTTAGTGCAGAAAATCTTTAAAACAGGTTACAATCTTACCCACGATCCTAAGCAAATGCTACTGGAAATCCCTTCCAAAAATTATGTCTGACATTGGTGAGTTGGTACCACAGAGAGTTGGCTATTTAACCTGAAGGTGCATTCTTACCTTCCTCACTGTGTTTCCAACCTGATGTTGTCCTAAAAACAGTACGCTAGAACAGGATCTTCATCATAACAACAATTTCTGTATTAATTACTGATTCATGCTTCATAAGGAGTATGTGGACAGCAGCATCAATTGCATAAATGAACACAGGCTTACAGGCAGGTGGAAGAGGCCTCAATGCCGACCAACTTGCTTTAGAATTTGGGTCGTTTGTGGAACCAGATCCTAGTGAAGTCATTCAGAACTTTGACTGAAGAAAACAGAAATTTAAGTTTGACTTGTAGATGTACAATGCTGAGAGATGTTCATGGATCCCACACTGATACAGTTATGAAAAATGAGAAAGACTTTATGCTGGGAAATTTGCTGTCAATGTAAAGTAGAAGTGTCCTAGCAAGTGGTGGGCCTTTTTGGCAGCATTACGCCTGGACTGCTTATGGACATCCAGTCACTGGGTTGCTGCAGCTCTCAGCTGTTCTCTCAGCACTCCAGTTTAAGATTTTTGAATTCCTCCGACACAGAATAAGGGGACATGCCTCTCCCTTCATCCCATTCCTCGCTTTTCTCTGCTAGCACAGCTGTTGCCTTATAATCAAAGAGCACATCAGCGTGCAGGCATCCTGAAACACTTCACACCAGTGGCTACGTACAAAGCTTCCTCAGTAAGTACAACCAGCTTTCACAGCCAGACCCCACAGAAAGCACCATACAGCTGAAATCTCTCCTATTGCCTCTGGAGCTGAGCTGCCACTGAAAGCACAGTTACTCAGCCACTTGAATAATGATCTGCCCAGCAGGTGCAAGGCAGTGGGAGCCATGAGGTGTCTCATTCCTAAGGGGAAAAAACTACTTTTAATACCTTCCAAAACAAATATGTTGACAGGGGCAAGCAGACACGGGAAAGAAATGAGTCAGATGTATTTTAAGACAGTATACAAATGCCATTGCAGGATAGCAGACCTTAGCCTTACACATAAAATTCTTTCTTCAGGCTTTGGAATGAAATATCCCCAGTGTGTAGGACTTCTGATCGGTTACCCTTTTCTCCTTGCCTGCTCTCAGTGAGCCAGCAGTCCCTGCTGCTGCTGCTGCCCTCACTTTGCACAGTGCACCAGGATGCTCTTACAGCTCTCAAGGTCAGGCAGGGCTTTTTCCTTTCCAGCATGGGAGTTACATCATTCTAGCCATGAACTCATCCAAAACAAAACAAAACAAAAAAAGAGTAACGAACTGAACAGAGATCAGGCTCTTACCCTTCATTGGTTTCTTGATTTGAAATGTCAGAGCAGTGAATCTGGGCATCTTTCTGTATTGTAAGTGCCCGTATACACAGACCTATCATCATCTCGCAGAGCCTCTTTTTTGCTCTGTCTTATTCTGCTCACTTGGGAAAGGATCACTTGTTCTGAGCACTATCATCAGAAAGAAAAGCATTTGGTGACTCTTTTGGAACAGATTACACTGTGGCTTCAGCTCTGTATTTTGGGACACCTGTTTCATTTGAGCTCAGCATTTGGGTTACAGACTTGCTTTTGCAAGACTGCTGTTCTTGTCAGTAGAGGGCACTGTGGGTATTTATATACCGAAATTTCTATTCTGTACCCACGTAGAACCAAGTGCCAACAGGTGGGCAGCACTATTATTAAGGCAGGGGACAATTTTGGAGCAATGAAGGATCTTAAATAGAGAGACAAATTTTTGCTCACAATGAGACAAGCTCACACTAAAAAGCACTAAGAAGCAAGAGATGTTGCAAATGTAAGGTTAAGATCAAATATTGATTCTGAATGTAGCTAGGGCTTAATACCTTAGGACAAGACATGAGTAGCAGACATTGTAACTTCTAGTTTTCTTACTTTTGTTCATTAGTATCTCACTTTTTTCTTCATGATATCAATAATATTAACATTTGAGTAATTTTTAATATGTATTTTTTACTGTTTTCTCTACCATTGTTTTCTGTCAAGTCCTTACTCTCTAACCAGATACTGTTATATACAAACACATATAACAGGAAAACAGTAAAGGACAAAGAGGATGAGTGAGAAGCAAACAGCATGGAACACAGAAAAACTGACACGACAAAATGTGCTGAGCCTTCTGCTACACAGCTGTGAGCACGGCATTGCCATTGTGAGCACAATATGAATACAAAACAATGCTGAAACAGGTCACAGAAATGTGCTGAAATTTCATGAACTCTAACTGCACAAAAGACTTGAACAAACAAAAGACGATTATCTGAAATAATTCCTTAACACCCATTCCAGTCCTACCATTTTTTTTTTTTAATCATCCAAACTACAGGAAAGATGAACACGTCATTGCTTTTTTCCTCATTTTTTTGTTCGTTTGGCCTTTATCCTTCTCACAGGATTTCACTAAAAGAATACTGCACTTTCACTCCTTCCTGGGCTTCTTTACACATTCACACTTCCAGAAATACTGAAAATTTTTCATGTAGGTTTCCTGCAGCTCCACTATATTTAAATCGTTAGTTTCTCCTACCTAGTTTTAAGATTTACAAAAGCAAATATGAACTGCCCCAGCTTTTTACATCAGCTGAGGATGTCTTCCAGCGATGGCTATATGTAGCTGTGAAGGTCATTACACTCCAAGTAATAGCGAAAGATAGCCTGTAAAACATATATCCACTTCAGCAATTAGGCTGCAACTTTACAACTACTTCTATTTCCTCTATGAAATACTATGCATAAGTAAATTAGCCTTTTTCTTCTGGCATGAAAAGGCAAACTCGTAATGATAACAGCATCTGAAAGCCATTGGTACTGTTGTCGGTATTGCTGCATTAGAAAAAATGATGTGTTCACGTAGTAGTTCTACGATCTCTGCATGCTGCGTTGCTATTAGAGAAGAAAGAGTATCCCCATTCTGGTCTTCGCATGTGAATGCAATGAAAATCTGCACCGGTTACAAAACGGCCTGGCAGCGTGGTCCCTTCAGTGCCAGAGCCAGAGTTTCTGGAATCTGAAGTTTTGCAAGATGTAATAAATCACCATTAACATCCTGTTGATTGCCTTTACAGACCTGTGATGCAGAGGATCAAAACACTGATGAACTCCCTGGCTTTGCTGAAATCATGTCATATAAACCCCCTCATACGAAGAGATGCGCAGGCTCTTCCCTGTAGGTGACTCACGCACTCGGTATATGCTTTACACTCAAGAGTTTCAGCAGATTATCAGAAAAATCCCATACCAGGGTGTGTATCGAGTGGTCCCTCCTCATAGTTAGTATCAGCATTCCCCTTAGAAGGTGAGAGCTTTAAGAACTGAGTACGCTGCACGCTGTGTGTCTGTCTGTGTATACTACTACAGAGAACGAGAAGTCTGCAGGTAGGTACCATAGGCATAGGAGAAGCAGTAGCTTTCACCGTTTCCGTGCGTGCCCAGCATCTCCAGTACTGAGCACGGAGGATGTTCTGCAGCAGACAAAGACAACCTCAGCACAGCTGGACTCAGCCCTTCACGTGTGACTGCACTGTCCAGCAGCGGTCATTCTTCAGCTCTGAGATCCACCCTTTGTATCCTTTTTGTTATTTCTCACTTTTAGAATTGAGGGAGAGGGAATTTAAAAATCCATGGGTTATTCTCATAGAAGATTTCCATTGTGGCTTTTTTTGCTGTTTCATTTTGATATATATATTATTTTGAATAAATATATATAGTTTGTTTTTCTTTTCTCGAGAAACAGCACTTTCCACTAGATGGAGACAGGACACTGGATCACTTTGTCCTCCAGGAGAACACTGACAATCAGGAACACAAAATAAAGCCCAAACATGAGAAAGCCCAGGATTTTATTCATCCTCCACTTGCAGAAAGCGATGGAAAGGATGACAAAGAGCAGCATGATGAAGAGGAGGACAATGGCACAGAACAGCCCATTGCTGCTGACTGTCACTGGGGCAAAGCTGTTAATCGCAGCATACAGGAGCCACGGTAGAGGAAGGCTGTTAAGAAACAGAAAAATAAATTGGAAACATTGAAGAGGTGCAGAAAGGGCCACTACAAAGTTTCTGGAGGCATTTCAAAATACAACCAGAGTCTTCCTGCATAAAGTGAGGCAGGAAGAGTTTCAGCTCTTCTAATTTGCACATAAGTCTGTCAGCTTGCTCGTGGTTCTTGGGGAGAACATATGGGATTTAGGCTCTCCGCTCTTCCACCAGTTACACTGATGAATTATATTTCCATTGGCTGACAAATCACTTGGTATCCTGTCTGTGAGCTGGAAGACCCCTTTCATTTGTTTCTGGATTTCAGACCATCTGTGGAAGAATCTGCTTTCACTCTGTTTCCAAGAGCCTGCATGACAGGAGGGCGGGTAGTGTAATGAGATGTCCTTGCCATGAAGAACCAGGACTCTGCAAGCCACTGCGCCCAAAATTTGGCCCTTAAAAGCCTTGATCCACATTTATTGTATAAACCCTTGTTAAAATGTGAACTTCAACTGAACTACAGCTTAATTTCTGTTTGTGTATTTGCTGTCACTGCAGTTCTCATCTCTGATGCCACAGAATGAGGCAACATCCCTCTGGAAGATGTCAAGCTGAAATAAATATTTAAGCCACTGATTGGAGCTTAGCAGGCTTAGAAAGCATGAAGAGAGCTGTCAGAAGCTCACACCATTCAGACTTTGAATAAGCAGCTCAACAGAGAAGAATTTATTATAGCCTCAGAACTAACTACATCAGTCTACAGCTCAAATGCACCATTTCTGTTGTAAATACACCAGGTCTAGCATACTGGTACAGGAGAACAACATTTCTATTGGCAGGAAGACTAAAAATTTTAAGAAGAGTAAGAAAGCATTGCAAAAGAGAAAAGTTTTGTGATGCATCCTACGTGCTCTAAGTTGAAGAACATGGTAGTGAATAACATTTTCATATATTTTGCAGGTCTGCTGCTTACAGATGTTATTTCAAACACTCCATGTTTCTGGATTAATAGAAAAAAGTGTCTCAGTTTTTCTGCTCTGTCCAAAGGTACTGCCACTAGATAACAGACGGAGTTAAAAAGCCATTTACCATCCACTCTAACTTCAGGAACCCTTTTTTGTACCTGTGCAGCTGCTGATATATTTTCAGCAGCAAAACCAACGATCTGTTCTATGACTAGGCTGTTTGGGACTGTGACTCTGGCTAGACCGATTCTTCTGCATCTGTGATAGCAGGAAACAGCCGAACATGGAGAAACTGAGAGTATGGACATGACTCTCAGTGTCTCCATCCTGTGTTAAAGATGGGAATGTGGGAATAGAGACAGAGTTTGTCTGTGCATTTCCTGTACATTTTTGAAATACTGAGGCATAGATTACAACATTTCTGGACCTTATCTACCTTGGTCTCAAAAGGTTAAAAACAAATTTTAATTCGAACCGCATGCCACACACCATTATCCTAGAGCTGCCATGAAGCAGTAAAGTGTAAATAACACATTTCGGCACAATCTTACATTGCTTCACATTGTCAGAGCTATACAAAGGGTCCTTTGTGTTAACAGAGAATTGGCTTGTAATCTGGGACTTGCCAGATATATAAAAAAATCACATGTCAACAACAGCCTAAACGAGCTACACAAGCCAATGACATTCTGTTTTTATTACAGCAAACATGTTCAATACTGGAGAGGCAATGAATTGTTCCTGATCATCATTTACAAAGAAAGCTTTAGTATAAGCACAATGAGTAGTAACGTTAGCAAACAACAGCAACCTGACAAACTCATAAAAAGCATCAGAAATTCCTTCTTGGAGCAACGCTCTTGCGTACTTTTTTAAGTGCAATTCACTTGACTAGGCAGCTCTGCAATGTATCAAAGAGAGAACTAGGCAACAAAGCTGTAACAATTCTTTCATGCAAATGTTTATAAACTTTTGAGCACTTGAAATAGTAACATCCCACGCATATTTGCATCACGCTCCTTTTTAAGCATCAATGGCATAAAACTGATGAACGCAACACCTTGGCAAAACCATGGCAACATGCTAAGAACAAAAGACTTGTTAAAACACACACAATTTTCTTGCTGGAGGACTTACCCCACTGTGATGTCAAATATGTTGCTTCCAACAGAACTGGATACAGCCATGTCCCCCAGACCTTTGCGTGCTACAATGACACTGGTAATAAGGTCGGGAATGGATGTGCCAGCAGCTAGAATAGTCAATCCCATGATTTCTTCGCTAATACCAATGGTCTCTCCAACCTAAAAGGGTTTAAGCAAAAACAGCAGAAAAATGTCCTGTGGTGAAGAAATTTTTTCTGCTGTAAACCTCTTTAACCAGTATTATTTTCCTGGAGCTTGCCAACTAGGTTAGAGAATACAGGCAAGATCAGAGAATTACCCGTTTTCACAGATTTCCACATTCTTCAGGAGAAAGACTGTCAAATAGAACAAGTAGGTATTGACAAGTGGTTACTGATGGCTCTGATGTTACCAGAATGATCAGGTCCTGTGGGCAGAACAACCACAGCTCTATGAACTACTTTCCGTTTACTGAGCAGTGATTTACTTCATACATGGTTACAGCTCCTAAAATAAAGCACTACGCAGCAAGAGATAGATGATGGACTCTGATTCTAAACGATCTCTCACAGTGCAAAACACAATGCAGGGCTTGTATTTTGTATCAGTATCACCTTCTTACCTGATGTGCCCACCAGACCATTAAGTAAGAAAAAAACGCAATCCAGCTGATAGAGCCAAAAAATGTGATAGGAAAAAATTTTCTTGACCTCTGAAACAGAAACAAAGAGAAATAGTGAACATCTATGTTGAACCTGACATGCTGTACTAGTACTTCCTTCTCAAAATGAGAGTTGTCTCTTTTTTTTATGGTCGCCTGTTCTGACCAACTATTCTGATCAGCATCAGATGATCAAAATAAATGTCAAAAATAGTAAGAAACTGACTCCCTACACTGGTATACACTTATCCATGCCTCATTCTTCCAATCACTTCAGCTGTAAAATGACACCTCCTAACAACTTGTATGATGAGTGGCAAGCTTTGGATTGTCATTTGTATCATATTCTGTTATGCCGCAGCTTTCATATGTGTTTAACTGAAGGGGGGCTTGACTTCTAAATTTATTAACAACTTCATGCTTTTCCAGCAAGAATGCCTTCAAGTTGCTAGAACAGATACCCATATCTTTCATTTATACATTAATAACTTCATGCAACACATTTCACTGTCAGTATAACACAGGCTGCCAAATGACAGAGCTAAAAAATTACACATTTAAAATTTATTACAGCATTTACTTTCCTTGCGAAAACAACCCACTTTCTCAATTCGAACAGAAAATACATTAAGCACGTTTGCCATCCTTTGTTTTGTAAAGAAGTTTGTTATAAAAACACGTAAAGCACACTCTGAGGCCCTTCAATGAATTAAAAAATCTGCATGACACCAAAGCAACTTCATTTTAATTTTCAGTGTTTCCCTTACTAATGTGAAACTTTGAATAGATAGTATTCTTGCAGCCAATGGATCGGTTATATTCAAATTAATGATTTATTTTGGTTTCTGTTCCTTCCAGTCTTTTGCATCATGCATATTTTCTATTGGCTAGCTAGATCTGTGTAACAAAAAGAGATCAAGTTAACTACTAAAGGAAAGAAACATGACTGCAGTACTGTACCATGCAATCACTGTCTAAATCAAATTAGTGTTTAAAATGAAATTTGTACTGTGAATGAATACAAGAAGTCTTGAACAAAACCATGATCTTTATGGGTATCGACCTTCTGAACAGAGACCCTCAGCCCAGACGACTTCTGACATGCCACTAGCAGAGTCCTACAAATTTGCATGAACAACCAGTACGACTGCTTGTGGAAGTTAAGTTATACCACTTTGAATACTTCTTCCAGCTGCTGCTCAGTCGTGCACTACCTTTTCCTGTTACATCCCCGCTAAACTGACTTCCACTTTTTGCTCTGCAGGGGCCTCCAGAATTTTTGGGAAGCACACCTTGCCTGTACCTCTCTCCACTGCAGGATGTACCTGTGCTGCACCAGGAGAGTCACTAGGCTGTGGGTCATTCCTAGGTGTTGTGGGAGCTGACAGGACTGCAGGGTTTTCCCTGAACATGATGTCTGGAGAGAAAATACTGTTTGGATTTTGCCACCTCAGCTTGCTCAAGCCATGATAATGCCCTCTTTTTTTCAGGGAGTTTACGGAGCTGCACAGCCAACTTTTCTTGTATAACAGACACAAAAGGCATTTGTATGGGACAGCCTCACATTTAGGAACTGATCAGCATGGGTGGCTGTGTACTAAGAGGTGCGCAGTGAATTGGGCTGGCCATCAGAGCTGGTCATGTGGGAATGACACCGTCTTTTGTCAGCTGAACCAGCAAAGAGTGAGGCTGGTCTGCAGCTCATTGAAATTGTGGAGATTCTTTCTGCTGATGTTAAATGGAATGAGATCAGGTCATTACTGATGGGAAAAAGGTAAAGTCAGCAATGGCAATTGTGCACACTCATCTATAGCCAGGACAATTAAAAGGTCTGTATCTGCTCCAGCAGCAGGTACAGCTGTAGGCGGTGCTGCAGAACACCTACTCACTCCCTATGGGCACTCTCCATAATGCTAAATGGCCTGCTGAAAACTGAGTTCATAAATATTGACTAACATGACCTATACAACTGCATAACTGGAACATATAGGAACACACATTAAAGATGGTACAGGTTTAATAATGCTCCCGAATCCCCTCATATATAAATAAATAACTGAACTTCTGTTGGAGGCGGAAAATCATTCCAGTATGTGTTTTAAATGAATTACCTTTAAATATAGGCATAAATAGCCACAACGGCACCTAGAAACATCCTTTTCATATAAATTCCATTACTGTCACAGGCACTGATTCTGGAACTGCCCAGGGTACTTTGGATGATCTGCTTCTTAACTGCTTCTTAACTCTTTACAGAGCAAAGACAGTTATTTTTTCAAAACAGAGTCCTAAATTTTTATCAACTCAGAAAATCTGATAATGAGCTTCTGATGTTTAAACCTAATCAGCCGGACTTTTAATTTTAAAATAAAAACTTTACATACATTAGGGGACAGAAGACCTTAGTCTGAAAAGGAACACAATTCGACAGGAACACAAAGATGCCTGTTAAAATAGTGATACGACATCAGTGGGAGCAGAACTGAGTCCGGAAGGGATAAATGAATCTAAAAAGCCGTTTTATTTTTTTAAACTAAATAGCTAGCACTTCTTTTTCACGATTCTTAGTAGTCAACTCCTTCCGCTTTCAACCTTTTTTGTCTTCCTTGCAAAAACTGGGATGTTCTGGCAAAACTTATGGTGAATGAGATGATGAAGTGGTAAGCTTGTTGCAGCTGGTCACAAAATCTACACAGAGCACCTCGTAGCAATGCAACTTGAATAATCACTATACAACACTCAAAAGCATACATTGGCTTATGCAAAACTAATACAGCAAGAGCTGTACTGGCCAGTAACAGCTCTCTGTCAATGCAGTTAAATATACCAAATGGTTCTTGCAAAATAACGAGACATTGGCTATCTGACTCAGACACACACGGAACTCGGATGGCTCAGAATTGTAAGTCAGTAACTTTGCAGCATGTGTACTTCTAGCCTGTCTTAGCCAACCCTCTCCCAGGAAAATTAACTGATAAGCAGCAGTTGAAGACTAAGAGTACTTAAATAGGCTTAACAGCTTAATCACCTATTTTAAAAGGGGGAACATTTAAACTCAAAAAGGGCAAAATTTAAAGCTTGTAGATATTACAGGTGGTGAAATGAAGAATGGACTCCATAGATGCTGCTATATAATTTGCATATAGATGAAATTTTTAAAAAGCAGTAATGAGGGTGCTGATTCTGCTTCTGATGCTGCATTTTATCTCCAGAGTATAATAATAATCATGCTTATTTTGTAACTAATGACAGCATTCTTCTGAGATTTATCTCATTGCAACTCCCTAGCTCTTGGAAATACAAAGAGTTGCCAATTCCAAGCATTTTCCTAGCACAATTAGTCAGAGACAGCAGACAGCAATACTTCTCTCCACCTTTTCTGGTAGCTGTTATGATGGTTGCCTTGTAAAGACAGAGCGCCCAGTTTATTACCAGTTGGTTCTGTTGTGGTCATGGTAACCGACAAATGAGAAAAGCCATGGCTCATTCAGTTCATATGCTATTTTCTTTTAACAAAAGAGAAAGAATTTTGCAGTTTCTCTGGAGATTGGTTGGACTGGTACTGTTCCTGTCTATCAGAAATCTTAAGGACATTTTTCTTTGTACATATTGATTTCATGCCAGTGTCTGAAAAAAAAGGACTTCAAGTAGCAGGGATGATCCACGTATGAAGGTTTTTCTTCTAAGAGCCTGATCCTGAAAGATACTGAGTGCGCAATAATTTGCAAAGTAACTGTCTTAATTTTAGCCAGTATTATTACCAACATATTTACCTTTAACCTGAATGAATCATATATTTGTCTTGTACGTAAATTTATCTGCATTGCAAGCTTTGATTTTCCTTTCAAACTTGACAGTGCTTAAATCTGATTACTCAGAACCTACTCCTGTAACTGGATCTGTGCAGGAACATCCTGTCCTTGTCCCCTTGGTAACAGTGCATCTCTGCGTGGTAACGAGAGTTCATGTAAGTTGTATCTCTTTGTTGGCAATGGGAATTTGCAGAGATACAACGATCTGCCCCATATGGGTCCAGTGACAGCAGGACTGGAGCCCCGTTAGCCATTTTTCTGGCTTGTAACACAAAAGGATGGAAAGTGCTGTATGGCTATAACAAAAGAGATGGTGCTCAATGTCTGCCACTGACCCACTGGGCCACCTTGGTCACATCATTTTCCTCTCAATCTTTCAATATCCCTTACTGCAGGAGGTGCACAGTTACATTTGTGACCTTTGCAGAGCCACAGGGGATATAAGCAATTAGTACAGGAAAAATACCCATTATTGTTCAAAACACCTCAACAAAAATTCAGGTACAAAATTCCCCTAGGGCACACCTACCTCTGGTGTACTGCCAGCAACATTACTGATGTTACAGCAAGGATTTTAATATGTAGTGGCTTAATGTGAGCAGGTACTATTAAGGCACTAAACACACATTAAAACATGTCAGCTATTGAATCAACTAAGAGTCAGCTGACGTAATCTACACTAAGTATATAAAAATCTGCACATGCGTACACCAGAGTATAATAAGGCAGGAAGGATTTTGCTAACTTTATACTCAGAGACCTTGTGTATGAAATGATTTTTCTAGGGCTTCTGGGACTCATGGAACTAAATATAACTTGATACAGTACAGGTAAATGCAGTCAAACTGCCTCCATTATGTAGGGATAAAATATACTTTAGGAAAGAGGCTCTAGGAGCAAAGGAGAATCATTTTTGTGAAGTGGACACCTACAGAGTATGTCAAAGGCTCCATATGGTCTCTCAAGTCAGTATATAGCACACAAGTGTTCCTTTTATATATCCACATGCCAATCTGAGCATCCTGATGCAGAATATGGATTTCTGACTAAAACTACCACACTTGCAAATCAAGCACCAGACAGTGGACCTACCTACAAAATCTATTTAAGTATTATTTTAGGTTTAACTTTTGCCTCACAGATTTCATGGAAAGTTGTTTTCTGATGCACATGCTGAGCTGTGATACTGGGTTTTGTTCTTGTTAGGAAGGGAATAGCGGGGATGGCACACAGGCATAAGTGAGAATATATTAGAGACAAACATACTAATGGAGCATCCTTGAAAAGTTAGACAGTTTATGCAACCATCTGGCTAATTCTTTGATACCAATGCTCAAAGTAAGCAGCTTGTCATACCAATACAGCCTGTTACCTCCTCCGTTATTACTACATGTAATTACCAACTACATTACTTTTAGTTCTGTATGAAAAGCTACTGCTTTCAGTGAATGAAATTTTAAAACTCTGTTGCCCATTGACGTATCTGGCATATACAACTGTGCTTATCTTTCATGTTACAGCAGGGTATTTTAGCTGGAGGATGTCAGCATGACAGTTCTGTTGTGAACAATACTAGCACTAACAATCACACGCATCACAGAGTTGCACGCGACTTCTTGAGCTATTAGCTTTCCGAAACCATTATTCTAGCAACTGCTCTCATTTGTACAGTACAGAATATTGGGTAAGGCTACATGTCTACTGATGTTAATTTCAGATTTTCAAAATTCAAAATAACACACATGCTTATTTCTTAGAGGTCATTTTGGGCAAAATTATTAAAAAATTACAGGAATGGCTTTGAATGATAAGAGGAGGTCATAAATACAGAAATAAACAACCTTGAAATTCCTGTAGTGTGCTCTTTATGTTATCAAAAAAAAGTGTTTACTAGAGTTGCTTGAAAACTTTAAGGAAAAAAAGGTTAAAGATTGGAAGGGAAAATGTCACTTTATATCCTCTGAGAAACCTTTATCCAAAAACAAATCAGAGTCTTATTTTAGCTTGTTTCTTGCAGTGAATTGCAGCTTTTCAGTGCATAGGATGGGAAAGTTTTTAGTGTGTGTGAGGAGGAAAAAAGAATTCAGAGTGTTGATTTATAAGCTTATAATCTATGTATCCCTCTCTTGCAGCAGTTTTGAACGTATTTTTGATCCAGAAAGGAAAAGAGATGAATACATTACTAAAGGATTTTTTCAGCTCTTGAATTTTCTTTTTACTTTCCGTGACTTGATAACTTGTCACATTAAGTCATTTGTATCAATAATCTGTCTTAAATTACTTCCAGCTGTGTCTAGGAAAAAACTAGCAAGTATTTTACACATAGAAGGACTTACAGATCTTGTTCTAGCATGAAAATAAAAAGATGATGAGTAGAAGACATAGATCTAGTAGAACATGCATTTAAGAGAAATGCGTATTATTATTTTTGAACCACAGAGAAAATTTAGACAGTCTAAAATCTTTCCAGTCATACCCTTTAGGGCACTGCAGATGGACAGACTTCCTTAGCACTTCTGTGACACTCAGTGGAGATCTAGAAATGCAGATGTGAAGGCCCTGAAGAAGTTTTAAGAGCTTTCACTTTGTGTCATAAAATATTAGTGAATAGGAATGGCAGTCTTTACAGAGCTATTACCAACCAGTTGCCCATAAGCACCCATTTGAAGATATGAAGACTGATGCTGTGACCTCTTCTTCAAAGAAGAAACTGTTAAAAAAAATAATGAGCTCTACTTTCACATAAATCCACTACAAGCCCTTTTTGGCATTTAGTTAGAGAGCCACCCTGTTGTACAGAACTCACTGACTTCACACACTGACTTAACCACAGTTACTTACAGGGTTTCTGACATCTGGGAGGGAAGCCCACAGTGGAAAAACAATGGGTAATACAAGAAGGTAGGTGAGCTGCTTGCGTGGGGTGTCAGGCCAGGCCAGGCTGAGAGGCTGGTCCTCATCCTCTTCATTCTGTAAGAAAAGCTGCGGTGAGCAGAATATTGAAGTGGACAAATGAGGTTAGGGATTCTTTAAAGAGGGACCCTGAGGACAGGGCTGTGTTTCAGTGAGAACCAATGGGATCCGAAAACATTACTTTAGCACCACACCTATCTAAAAACATTAGCCAGGACACAGTAAAAAGATTTTGGCCAGACTATGAGGTAACCCTGCAGTACAGGCTGCCTGAAGACATCCGTTTGCAGCTATGCTGACAGCGATGCTGGTGCTTCGGAATGCACGGACCAGTGTCATGCCTTCTCCCTGAAGGGGAACCTTGTGACTCTGGTACGTCTTCCCACAGACTCTACCTTGGGATGTGGGCTAGTCTAATAGGTGATTAACTCTCGTCTGGATTGCATCAAGCCTGGCCACATAGATTGACACAGGGACAGAGACTGGGATAGAGACAGAGATACCTGTGTGCATATGTCTATACACACATAAACTTATACGCATATAAAAAGAAATATATATATGTGCATATATATGTATACATATATCTAACATTTCAAGCTTTTGTAACTTAAAAAGTTACTATTTAAGATATACATATACATATACATATACATATACATATACATATACATATACATGTATTTTCTTGTTCATAGGACCGTAGGGTGGTTCAGGCTGGCAGGAGCCTGGGGAGCTCCACTGCTCAGCCGGCGAGCGGGTCAGACCGGGCTGCTCACGGCTTTGCCCAGTCAACCTATGAAACCACCAAGGATGGAGATGGCCCAACATCCCAGGATCTGGCTCCACCGCTGGGCTGTCCTCCTGGGGAAAAGACTTCTTATCTCCAGCCTGAATCTCCTATGTTTAGACCAGCCACAGAGCAGCAGTCTTCTTAACAACTTGGTGCTAAAACTAAAGGAAAGACATTACTCTCCGATTTGTGTAGCTGATTTTCACATCAGTCTCTAGACCCCTTTTATGTGCATGCTGTTCACCTGACATCTCTATTACAGAGTAGGTGTATAGGGACCTTCTCCCACAACAGAGGACCTTTTGGCTGCCACACACTTCCCTTTTCTTAGACTGCTTCTGCTAACAAAATGGAGCCCTCTCAGACTTCCGCAGAAAGAAAGCAAAGCAAGCATGTTTCAGTCTTTTGGGTGTACGTATTAAAATCACTTTTTAACTTTTAACATAGGTAGGCAATGTCTCTAGAATTGTACATGGATCTAACTTAAACCACAGAATAAGGCAACGGAAAAAATTGCCTGAACAGTTCTTTCATACAGGTGTGTGTAATTCAAACTCTGTTAAGCCTGTGGAAAGATTCCTAGAGAGCTCAGTGAAAGCTAAAGAAGTCAAAAAAAGAGTACCTGGCGAAAACTGTGGTTTTTTGAGAGTATGCGAGGCATACAACTACTTCTTCATGTAGTGCTGTTATTTTCTTCTTTTTCAAAAAGATAGTAATTGAGCTCTGCAGTGTGCAGGTTACTCTTCCCATAAATTTATAATACACGTCTCTTGTCACTTCTTGCCCTGTTTCAAGATTGCTTACATAAACCTTATGACAATGCTATACGAAGCAGCCATTTGAATGACCATGTCAGTTATTTTTTTCTAAGCAAAAGAGTTATTGATGAAATGTCACCATATGTTGGTATTGTTCATTAACATTTTCTACTTACTGCTAATTTTGATTAAAGAACTGATCTTAGTTATTCCACTACTATGAACTCCTGAATTGTTCAACTACTCAGCTCCCTGAACTGCTCAGTATCTGCAGCAGCAAGCCCAGCTCTTAGCTCAGGCTCTTCCACGATGACTGTATCACCCAACACCGATGGACTGGAAGCAAATCCCTACTTGCCTCTTGACACATTGACAGGCTGCAGCTACTTTGACAGTTATGTGTTGAAGTCAACAGCAGACAATATTCTTTTAACCCCTACACTATGTGAAACTCCCAAGTTGTATGATTGTCAGATGACAGCAAACTGAACAGGTCCTAATAGGTATAATCATTAAAAGATTTTTAAAATGTACATAGGCACAATTTGTCACACACCACACAGTACTCAAAAGGCTCCTGAGGAGCTTGAGAGGTTAGCTTTTGCCTTTAGCTTTCAGCTCTTTACCAAAGCAGGCACATGATCTGTACTTCACTGCTGCAATCTACTGAAGCCTAACTTTTGGAGGACTGTGCTGTGCAAGAGTTTTTGGGGCTACTTCCTAAAACCAAAATCCATTCCTTTTCCATTCTTGCAGATGCTGTTGGGGTGGGAAAATCAGTATCAGATGGACGCTCCGCTTTGAAATATCACAACTGAGGTAAAATTTGAGCACAAAAGGACCAATTGAAGGGTTACCTAGGCAACTCTTTCTCAGTGGCCTGAGTATAATTCAAGCAGCAGACTCAGCTGGAATAAAGCTCCAGAAATGACTGCTTCATAAACATCACTGAGTGACAAAGTACTTCCTGAATTGCCATCTTCAGAGATCAGTCATGATTAACAACTGTATTTAATAACAACAAATGCTTTACATTAGTCTGAGCTTGCACAGAAGTCTGCAAAACGCACAGAAACTGACACCTAAGTTGGTTCACGCAGTACTATACCAGTACATAGCGCACTTCAGCACTGGGCTACATTCTGGTCTTGTGTCTTTGTCAAACAGCATTCGGCTAGCACAAGCACACAGGCAACATGAGTGGCTGTAGCAAAGGACCACAAAGAATTTCATATGGAGATTGCCAGATGTCTCCTGAGAAACCTTGATCCATCTCTTTGAGACCTGTTCACCTTCAGGTTGTCCTGCCTCATCCCTCTCCCCAAAACAACTATCCCCAAAATGCAAGGCCAAATTCAAGCTCACAGTGCAGTAGGGCAAACCCCTTTTCCTCGCTAAACTCCAGGATGCATTACAGATGCTACAAACTGGATCTCCATTTCCTATTTTGTAAATCATAATCAGCATCTGATTTTCAAATGCTGACCTTCCAAAAATCAGTGGAAGTAAGGAAGTTCAACCTATTTGTAAATCTAGCTTCCATGAATTTCAAAGCAAAGCACTGAGGCTGAAGACATGAAAGGGAAGTAATTTTGGCAGGTATAAAACCATGCAAATGTGAGTATCATGCTCTGGACTAAGCAGCAGTGATATAAAATGACTCAGCACAGATTTATGGCAAAGACTGCATGCACTGCCTGTGGCTCCAGACTATCTGCAATGCACATGCTGAATACGCATTCTCACAGTTCATAGAAACTAATTCCGAAACTATAGTTTTGATTTATTTTAGTGCATATGATGAAAACTCAGCACTTGCAATGTTCAGTATGATTCTTTTCTGAAATGCCAAGAAGAAAAACATAATGTAACATGATATACACACTAGAATTTGGTTGCCTAAACATGCACATGGTCACGCTATTTTAGATACCTTCTGGTATATCACTTGACCTCCACAGGCTCCATCAGAAGTGGAGAATATTCTGCTCATTTATGTCATACATGGCACCACTATGCAAAAACCCCCATTTGTCTAGGCCAGGTCAGCTGGTACTATCTGCTCATCTATACGCAAATGAGTCCCACACCAAATTCATGCCCTGCTATGACTCTGTAGCTAATTAGCTTTAAAGATACTGAACATACAGGAAAGCTGCATTAGTTGGCATTATGAACTCTGATGATAATCCACTATCTACATAAAGTTTCGTGTGAACCTAGATTTAACTGCTGTCACAAAAACACAGGTCATATTACAGTCAAGTAAACCTGAAGCTGTACAGACAATCATGGTTGTCCTGTATTTCCATGTTCATTTTGGTGAACTGTCTGAAAGGATTGTCCAGAACATGTTAACGAACATAGAACTGAACAGTTTGCTTATTTTAATACAAATAGCATTAATGCTAATTGTTCTAGATAGTAATTAAACATATCAATACAATTCCTGGCAGAAATGTCTGGAATGAGTATCACTTTCTCTTAACCACCATGATCGTCCCAAGACCTCTTCCCAGGCAACACTCAACGCTGATGTCTGGTAGATAATACGTGATTTGACAAAGGTGGCAGAGGATAAAGCAGGGTAAAACCTCTACAGTTTTTTATAATATGGTGAGACTGATTGGACTGCGAAGATAGAAACAGTGATACTAAGTCAGACCAAAGGCCGATTTACACCAGCTGCCTGTCAACCAACACCTCCAGGTTCTTTTGTGCCAGGCAGCTTTCCAGCCACCCTTCTCCAAGCCTGTAGCATTGTTGTGACCCAAGCGCAGCATACAGCACTTGGCCTTGTTGAAACTCATATAGTTGGCCTTGGCCCATTCATCCAGCCTGGACAGATTCCTAGCACACTGTCCTTTCAAACATTGGTGTGCCACCCCCAGACTTATCTCTAGTGAGCCTGGTTTTATCCCTTTCCCCCCTTCAAATCTAGTTTAAACCTCTTTCAGTAAGCCCTGCTAACTCCTGCGCAAAGATCCTTTTCCCTGTTTGGGACAGATGTATTGCATCTGTTGCCAGCAGGCCTCATGTTGTGTAGACCAACCATAATTGAAAAACCCAGAATTCTGCTGGCGACACCATTCTTGGAGCCAGTTATTGATCTGCTGGGTCTTCCTGTTTTTTCCCTCATCATTCCCTGCAACTGGAAGGATAGAGGAGAACACTACTTGTGCTCCTTGTCCCTTAACGAGTCATTAAAGGTTTAGACATCTTAGCTCTTCATATGTAGTAGTCATTAATGTGCTTCTATGAAATTCTCATTAGCTGTCATAATTCTTCCCACTTTTGATTTATTGTGTTCTCATTTTTTCATGCTTGTGCTTGGCACTATCTTTATGTTATATACGCATTTGCAGTGCTGAATATCATAGGTATACTGATGCCTACATTGGATGGATGTGGTATCGTAGCGCATATTAATCAATAATGATATCCCAATTAATTCTCTAATAGGAAATGCTCCCTTTGCATATTCTACCAGGGTTAATGAGGTACAT